GGCCTAAAGGTAAGATGCCTGCATTCTGATTGGCTGATAATTTTCCATCAATATCAATATATTATAACTGTGCACTCACTTATTAAATAATCAAAATTTACTTAATATAAGGTAACCGTGAACCAAAGCAACCTCAATATGAGCAAAAAGTCAGTATGAACTACATTGGCAGATATATAAAAATTAAAGGGGCACTTGGATGAAAATCAATGAAAATTGGAAATGACCATTGACCATATCATTGGCTGATAATATAGTAATGATTATTTGTTAATTCAGAATCTTCAGAAAATTATATTGTCATTATGTCTGAGGTGGTTCTCTTTATTGCATTTTTCTAATATTATAGTATTTCTTATTGTTTTTCAGCTCTCACGTCATCTCCTCTCTCTGTACCATGCTCTGTATCACCATCCAAGAGCATATCAGAGAAGGTCTTTAAGTCTTTAGATAACTCCACACTGTTCCTTATCAAACCATCTGAGGAAGCTTCACCTCTAATTACCTTCACAAGAATGTTAACAGTAGAAAGGTTCGTAGAGAACATTGCTCAACTGTAAAGCCCCATTTACACCGGCGATTTTTGCGGCGATTTTTGCTGCGATTTCTGTGGCAATTTTCGGAAATATGAAATCTTTTGTCTCATCCTTCAAAAGAGACATTCTCCTAGGAAAATCTTGGTATCCTGAAAAAAACTTTACAAGTAAATTCTTTACCATTATTTATTATGGACAAAATCGCAAAAAAATCGCAGCAAAAATCGCCGCAAAAATCGCTAGTGTAAACGGGGCTTAAGACAGCTCTAGAGGAAAGTGATATGAGCCTAGATTAACTGATATCAAGAAATTTAGGTTTTAGTTTATCTAACAAGGTCATTATTCGGTAGGGGATCCACTGATTCCTCAGTTATTATRGCTATGATTTGACTTCATAACTGTTTAAGGTATTTTGAACCATTTTATTTCCTGAATGGATCGATTCTCTCTTTGATTTTTTTGCTCCACAGTTCCTAAACTTGGCATAGGTTTATTTCTGTTTACACGATTTAACAACTTGAACCTTGTTGCAGATTTTGTACTCTAAATTCATTCCTGAATTCCACCCCTGTTTCAGCCGCCCCCTCCAAATATGACTTGCAATCAGTCCAGTTTTCTATTTGACCCAGTTTTTCAGACGACAGATGGATGTGGGGGGAATTCCTGACGTGGCTTTTCATGCTTTAACAAATTAATTAACGACATAAATTCTTTTGAAGTAAGCGCACCGAGAGCTTAATTAATTTTGAGTTATTTTTCTTGTATTGACGGAAAGTATTTTCTAATTGCTTATGTTTTCATTGCTAATCCTATTGTTTTCTTTTCACTTTTGATGATCGTTTTCCCATTTGGATCAATAGCATCACTAATTAAACGTAGGCGTTGTCGCGGGCGGCTCGTGCTTTGCAACATTTCTGGCGACTTGAGCGGTGATTTATTTTGCGACTTTACAGCGCTTCTTAATCGCACGCGCGAAATTGTGCAATTTTCTGTCGTGACAAAATAGAGTTCTGGTGGACGTCAATCAAAGTGTTTTCATGACATTGTCGAAAAACACAAAGCTTTCGAGGGATCTTGCCTATGGAATGTCATGGAAGCGTTTTGATTGACGTGCACCAAAATATACTTGGTCACGAAGGCATACCATTTCGCTCGTGTTATTGAGAAGCGCTGTAATGTAACTCTATATATCGCGCGTGTAAGCTAATGGGGATTTTCAGATGGTTTTTAAATCGCCATATCAAGAGTCTGCTGTGTAAACGGACCTTAACCAAATGTTCAACTTTATAAGCCACTGTCCTTTGTATTTGCGAGTCCTGTATTTTAAATCCTGCGGAAATCCCTCGAAGTAAATGCGCAGTAAGTGTGCACTCTAACTATAGTAGGCACCGTGCTTAAGTCACCTTTGATATCTCAGCAGCATTCAGTCCCTTAATGTTTTTTATATTATTTCGCTTTTTCCTTTCCAGGATGTTACAAATAAAAGGTGTTCTACACGCCATTCGCCACCCTCTGTTCATCGATAGTCAGCCAGTAATTATTAAGGTGTACGTTCTTATCACTTCGATGACCCCCCTGAGAGTCTTCAGACACCATGATGGAAGTGCGGTGATCATGACCCAAGATAAGGTACAAAAATTCTAGTACAATCTAGCATGTGTTAGTCAATAAACCAGATCCTACGTTTTCCCATTTTAGACCACGTGTCATTCCTTAGAATATTATTTCTTTGTTTAACGGCTACACACGAGAAGACAACTCAAACAAAGAATGTTATTCTCAAGAGAGTGACACCTGGTCTGAAATGGGAAACCATTACGTCCAAGCTGATTTGGTACATTGAACAAGATTAGTCGTGCAAGCGCCGCGAGGTTATCGGTTTTCAGTCAAAGCAAATCGCATCCTCCGCTGAAGCTAATTAAGAAATGGGCTGAATTAGAAATTACTAAGCACAAGATGGAATTGGTACGGTATTTACAAGTAAAAACCAGTTACTCTTGCGAACAGAATGCTCCAGCAAGTAGTGTCACAGCATTGCGCAGCACAGAATTTGCATGACAGTCAAATGTCACGCGACATGACACGGCACTGTAGGTAACGATGTGTAATAAACCAATGACAGCGCGCGAGACTACTTATTCATTCATTTGCGTCAGGATCACGGTCACGGTAGGATACGTCCGTACCGCAACATTTTTTTAAGATATGCGAAATATTTTCTCTTACTTAGCCAATCAAATTGCTGGGTTTTTATCAAGCTAATGGCATCGGTCACCACGCACCATAATATAAATTTAAGGTTTTCAAAGTTTTTAGTAATATGCTCTTTTGTATTTGATCATTTTATTAACACACTGAATATTGTAATAGGGTATCAAGGAAACATGGACGCTGCATCAATTAGATGTTTATCTAAGTGAGTCGTTTAGTGCGAACGATGTTTCAAGGGCTTGGAGTCAAGTGGATGAGATGATCGTCAAATCTCTGATGATCAGTGAATCTTCGTTACTCGGTGACAAACTCAAAATGGAATTACTCTCTCAAAGGTGTGTTTTGGTAATTGGTTGGTAGCTCCTTGTTGTTTTTTCTAGGGTAAGGCTTCACGAATTTGCAACGTCCCAGTGATTGGTTAGGTTTAGGGGCGGGGTTGGGGAAAGGTCATTGTTTTCTATTGTTCTACACATGTGTGCCCTCCAATAGGATCACATCTTGCAAATTCGTGAACGACGACCCTTTTTCTAGCCACACTCCTGATTACCAGTTCCTTCCTTCCTGTCTTCATCACTAATTTTCTTCCCTCCTTCCTTCCTTCCTTCCCCTTTCTTTCTTTCTTTCTCTGTTTTTTTAAAGATGATGAAACAAATAGCCATTTAACCTTTATTTTACTTTTTTCTTTCAGTTCCAATTTCTTCCATCTTCTTGAATTTTATTTCACTTTTAATTCTTCGTTGCATCCATTTCTTCTTGAGGTAAGACAATCCAATACGAAACCAACACGAGAAAGATGTTTTGCCACTGTAAACATGCTAACTAACTATGGGGCCTGTTTAAATCTCCAGGTCAAGCCAACGTTAGATGGAAGTACTTCACCAGACGTTGTAAGGGATACTATACAACTAGTGTTCGGTGCTACCTCATCTGTCAGACACGTGCATGAAATGTTGCAAAAAGAGAATAAGACCATTGGAGTTGAGGTGATAAAAAGAATTTCTTTACAGTCTATTTCCTTCCTTTCTATTTCCTTCTTTTCCCGTTTGGTCTATCCTTCTATTTAATCAAGTCTCCATTTATTCATTTTTCATTTAAGCATTCACTCAATTACTATGTCACTCATTCAATCATTTTTCTTTCACCTTCACCGTCCTTCCTTCCTTCCTTCCTTCCATCCTTCTTTCTTTTCTTTTCTTCATTTATCCATTTACTTTCTCCCGTTTCGTTTGCTTAATCTTCCTTTCTCTCCTTATCTTTTTAGACGTAATTACGTATACTACTTTTTAAAATCTTTTTTAAGCAATGACAACTCAACTGTAAAGTTGCTGTTTTTCTCCAGGGCTTGTACTGTTCTCAACAACACAAGATTTGTCTGGATGACAGCGAACTAGTTTATGTAATAGAGAACCACAGACAAGCAACAGCATTGGGGCGATTCAAGAAGGTACTTATCGTAGTGTCTTATGCTTGGAGTATTATATGCTGGGGGAATGGTAAAATAAAGCCATGCTCGGGAAGATGAACGGACAGCTCCTGATTAATCTTGCTACTTAATGCGCATGCGTTCTTTTTGCTTTTTGATTGGTACAGAGCAGACCATGACCATGCTACCGGGCTGACGGATCATCAGATTAATTAGATTAAGATAAATTAAAACAAAATTAAGATAAATGCAAAGTTAAATTATTATATATTTTTTCGTGTAATAGCTGTATCCTACCTCTGAAAGTAACAAATATCAACAGTTACTGGACGATCTTGTGTCATCCGATGATGATTCTCTTGATTCTCGCCTCAAGACTCACAAAAGGCGAAGTACGCCGCAGTTGCATAGTGTGTTAACCGAGATGGAGAGTTATAGAGAAGGGTTTGCTAGTGACGGTGATGTACCACACGTTGATCAACGGTAAGTACACAGACTGGTGGACAGACAGACAGATAGACAGGAAGATGGGTGGAACACGGACGGAGGGACAGACAGTCAGACATGTAGACACACTCAGTCGCGCGTGCCGACAGACAGGGAGTTGGACGACGAACGGATGGACAGACTGGACAAACAGGTGGACGGTCGGAAAGACAAACAAACGTGCAGTCAAATAGAAAGATAAGGGACCACACTTAAAAGACTACATTTTCAAGGGAGCCCTTTGGTTACTGGCGTGGAAAGTGCCTCATTAATTGTAATTTCTCATTGTTTTAACTTGTTCAGGAAAGGATATTGGGAAACRGACGATGATGATTATCCAGACAAGATTTCGCCAGGTACGTACTAAAGCAATGGTTTTTATTTATTTTATAGCACCCTATAGTTTGGTCCAGAATATAAAATGCGCTCGCATGTGTCTGTACTAGGATATAAACACGCTGGGACCTAGGGACACGAGGCGTATAGCCGAGTGTTAGTTCTCTTGCTTCTTGAGTGCTCTACAGCTTCCACAGCGTTTATATCACAGTACAGAAACATAAGCAGCCGTTTTATATTGCTTTTACAAAACATTTTTGTTTGCGCGAGCGTKTCTCTGTCCTCTGATATAAACAAGGTAGCCAACCAATCAGCGCGCGCGTTATTTCCGTAATATTTTATAATACATATTGGAGAAAACTACTGTTTTTTTCTTTGTTTTGCCTTCAGATTCCAGTAGCAATGTACAGAGACAAAGTCGTCCAAAATGCAATGAAGGTAAGATCCTAAATGAACCAGGCGGATCAAAGTAATTTACGTCACTAAAACTTGTCATTTCCGTTTACTTTTAGATTCCAGTGCAGATCCTGTTCTTACTGCTATTTATATCGATCCTACATCAGCTGACTTCACCCCTGCCTTTACTCCAGAAATAACCGAGTATGATGTAACTTTCCCATTTGATGTCGCGGTTGTGAAAATCTGGGGTGCAACAACGTGTGGCTCAGAGGCCAGAGTCAACAGTGTGACCGGTACATCTGGGTAAGTGTGGGATTCCTGTGCCTAACACTGGAAACTTAATGAATAAAGCTTTGTTACAGTAATGATGTCAATTGATATTTAACAGTTCACCACAAGAAAATACAACAAAATAGACAGCACATCGATCACCTTTACCAAGAAAGACAAACACACAAAACTCTCTATATTTTCTGTCATGTTTTGTTTTGCTTTGCCCCCTGGCAAGATGGCCGCCGTATCATCGAAGTAGTCCATTAATCGGCCGATTAATATTCACAGGGGAGGCGGAAGCTGAAAATCTTTGGGGGGGAGGGCACTGCAAAAAATCTCAACAATAATTTAATAACAGTAATAAAAATTGAATATATGCATTTATATTTCATGTGAACGAATATTTCGGGGGGGGGGGGGGGGGGGGGAGGGCAGGCCCCCCAAAAAAATTTCGTGGGGGGCACCTGCCCCCCGGCCCGCCCGGTTCTGCCGCCCCTGTTATTCAGTTGACATATTTAAATATAACCCTAGCTTACACATGTTATCGATACAGGGCAGCTAACTACTCTGTTGGTGTTGGATGGAACAAGTTTGCTATTCACCTAGTGGACACGTCTCTCGCTCATCCATCAGTCATTGGCACGTACAATATCAATATCTATCGAAGAGGGAGAAGCAACCAACACAAGCCTTTCAGCGACTCAGCGACGACCCACGAAATGTGTTCTTTGAAACAAGTACGTATGACAGAATACTCGTGGAAAGTTTATCGTAGAGTTCAATTTTATAGTTCATATACCATCATGGATTGTTCACACATACTGGGTGCAAAATTGAATTCTATTGTTTTTGTTAGGATTGCGATTTGAAAGCATTTCCGGGACTACCTTGCGGGCCTCAAAAGATTCCCGAGAAAACCATGAACGAATTCCTGGAGAGTAGAGTTGATTTACCGTGGTGTGAGAATGGTGACGCTCCAGGTAATCTATTCAGGTTCTTTATCATCTCTTTAATTTGCATATATTCCTTTTTCTCTCATTCGCGCGCTGACTCCTTCCACAATCTTCTGTGCCAAGGACCGTCAAATCATCGTCATATATTCTTTACAACCTCACTTCCTTATTCTCCCTTTAATACGTAGACTTTCGCAATGTCCGCCGCCCTCTTTGTATCCATATGTCGCTCGCTCGCTGCGCTAAACAACTTCTCTCTTGCTCGAATAAAAAACTCTCGGGGAGACARGAGAGGTCATTTGTGGAAAGTCTATTTAAAATTGTATCCCCTTTATATCACCAACCACCCTTCAGCCACCATCGTGTACTGCCTCATTCTCTTCTTTTATTCCTCTTCTCATCCCCCCCCCCCCCCCC